GATCACCGTCACTCCACCCAAACACCTTGAATACACACATCAGATCACCGTCACTCCACCCAAACACCTGGAATACACACATCAGATCACAGTCACTCCACCCAAACACCTGGAATACACACATCAGATCACCGTCACTCCACCCAAACACCTGGAATACACACATCAGATCACCGTCACTCCACCCAAACACCTGGAATACACACATCAGATCACCGTCACTCCACCCAAACACCTGGAATACACACATCAGATCACCGTCACTCCACCCAAACACCTGGAATACACACATCAGATAACCGTCACTCCACCCAAACACCTGGAATACAAACATCAGATCACCGTCACTCCACCCAAACACCTGGAATACACACATCAGATCACCGTCACTCCACCCAAACACCTGGAATACACACATCAGATCACCGTCACTCCACCCAAACACCTGGAATACACACATCAGATCACCGTCACTCCACCCAAACACCTGGAATACACACATCAGAGCACCGTCACTCCACCCAAACACCTGGAATACACACATCAGATCACCGTCACTCCACCCAAACACCTGGAATACACACATCAGATAACCGTCACTCCACCCAAACACCTGGAATACACACATCAGATCACCGTCACTCCACCCAAACACCTGGAATACACACATCAGATCATCGTCACTCCACCCGAACACCTGGAATACACACATCAGATAACCGTCACTCCACCCAAACACCTGGAATACACACATCAGATAACCGTCACTCCACCCAAACACCTGGAATACACACATCAGATAACCGTCACTCCACCCAAACACCTGGAATACACACATCAGATCACCGTCACTCCACCCAAACACCTGGAATACACACATCAGATCACCGTCACTCCACCCAAACACCTGGAATACACACATCAGATCACCGTCACTCCACCCAAACACCTGGAATACACACATCAGAGCACCGTCACTCCACCCAAACACCTGGAATACACACATCTACATCAGATCACCGTCACTCCACCCAAACACCTGGAATACACACATCAGAGCACCGTCACTCCACCCAAACACCTGGAATACACACATCAGATCACCGTCACTCCACCCAAACACCTGGAATACACACATCAGATCACCGTCACTCCACCCAAACACCTGGAATACACACATCAGATCACCGTCACTCCACCCAAACACCTGGAATACACACATCAGATCACCGTCACTCCACCCAAACACCTGGAATACAAACATCAGATCACCGTCACTCCACCCAAACACCTGGAATACACACATCAGATCACCGTCACTCCACCCAAACACCTGGAATACACACATCAGATCACCGTCACTCCACCCAAACACCTGGAATACACACATCAGAGCACCGTCACTCCACCCAAACACCTGGAATACACACATCAGATCACCGTCACTCCACCCAAACACCTGGAATACACACATCAGAGCACCGTCACTCCACCCAAACACCTGGAATACACACATCAGAGCACCGTCACTCCACCCAAACACCTGGAATACACACATCAGATCACCGTCACTCCACCCAAACACCTGGAATACACACATCAGATCACCGTCACTCCACCCAAACACCTGGAATACACACATCAGATCATCGTCACTCCACCCAAACACCTGGAATACACACATCAGATCATCGTCACTCCACCCAAACACCTGGAATACACACATCAGATCACCGTCACTCCACCCAAACACCTGGAATACACACATCAGATCACCGTCACTCCACCCAAACACCTGGAATACACACATCAGAGCACCGTCCCTCCACCCAAACACCTGGAATACACACATCAGATCACCGTCACTCCACCCAAACACCTGGAATACACACATCAGATCACCGTCACTCCACCCAAACACCTGGAATACACACATCAGATCATCGTCACTCCACCCAAACACCTGGAATACACACATCAGATCATCGTCACTCCACCCAAACACCTGGAATACACACATCAGATCACCGTCACTCCACCCAAACACCTGGAATACACACATCAGAGCACCGTCACTCCACCCAAACACCTGGAATACACACATCAGAGCACCGTCACTCCACCCAAACACCTGGAATACACACATCAGAGCACCGTCACTCCACCCAAACACCTGGAATACACACATCAGATCACCGTCACTCCACCCAAACACCTGGAATACACACATCAGATCATCGTCACTCCACCCAAACACCTGGAATACACACATCAGATCACCGTCACTCCACCCAAACACCTGGAATACACACATCAGATCACCGTCACTCCACCCAAACACCTGGAATACACACCTCAGAGCACCGTCCCTCCACCCAAACACCTGGAATACACACATCAGATCATCGTCACTCCACCCAAACACCTGGAATACACACCTCAGATCACCGTCACTCCACCCAAACACCTGGAATACACACATCAGATCACCGTCACTCCACCCAAACACCTGGAATACACACATCAGATCACCGTCACTCCACCCAAACACCTGGAATACACACCTCAGAGCACCGTCACTCCACCCAAACACCTGGAATACACACATCAGATCACCGTCACTCCACCCAAACACCTGGAATACACACATCAGATCATCGTCACTCCACCCAAACACCTGGAATACACACATCAGATCATCGTCACTCCACCCAAACACCTGGAATACACACATCAGATCACCGTCACTCCACCCAAACACCTGGAATACACACATCAGATCACCGTCACTCCACCCAAACACCTGGAATACACACATCAGATCACCGTCACTCCACCCAAACATGTTTGTAAAGTGAGCTTCTCAAGAGTAACATCGGTGACAGCTAATCACACAAGAACAAATGGTGGGCCAATCAGGAGCTTGTGGGCGGGTCTGAACTCTGGGAAGCTTCAGTGCTCGACGAATGTCTGTGTCCGGTAGCTTAGCATTGTTTTTGGACGGTAAAACTAGCAGGAGAGCGAAACGGATGTTTGAAAAAGTCCACTGCAAAGGAATGAGGTCCATGATCCCATGCAGGTCATAACCCTAAATACAGTTTCTAATAACATATTAAGATGTATCTAACGGTTACTGACAGCAGCAATCTCTCCGCTGAAGGCTCAGTGAAGCCTAACCCTGCTGGAAGCAATCAGTCCCAGATACCAGAAAGAAACAATCACTGGTCCAGTCAAAGCCAGCTGAGCACAGCAGCAGCTCCTCTGGTGAACCTTTCGTTTAGAGGCAGCAGTGAGGAGGCTCTCATCTCTAACCCTGACCTGAGAACACAGAGGGAGGCTGGATTAACTCCATTGTGATCTAATGAAACGAAGGACTGTTCTGTGTGTGAGGAGCAGCTGCTCCCAGAAAACCAGGGTCTGTAATCACAGACTACCAGCAGATTCCTGCCATCGATCAGGATTCATGCAGTGATCCTCCTGATCGTCTCTCCTTACCAATAAAGTTCTCCTCAGAACTCGTAAAGCGAGGAGATGAAGGCTGATCCAGCAGACAGGTGTTAATAGTGAGGTCAGATAAATGTCATCCTGGTTTTACCACCGATAGTTAATTATTGCAGAAAAATGATAATAAATTACCACGAATGAATAATTGGATGATTTACAGAATTTAACATGGGCCCCATCCTCCTCATGCTGGGGGGGCCCTCAGCTCTTCAGGCCCCGACTGCCATGAAAAGAAACCTTTTTCAACATGGAAGCAGGAAAAGTTTCTCCTGCCTGTCCCTTCAGTCTCTGCACCAAACTGCTCCTCTGGTCAGAGAAAAGCTCTGACCAGTAAGCAGCCAGTAAGCAGCCAGTAAGCAGCCAGTAAACAGCCAGTAAGCAGCCAGTAAGCAGTCAGTAAGCAGCCAGTAAACAGCCAGTAAGCAGCCAGTAAGCAGCCAGTAAACAGCCAGTAAGCAGCCAGTAAGCAGTCAGTAAGCAGCCAGTAAACAGCCAGTAAGCAGCCAGTAAGCAGCCAGTAAACAGCCAGTAAGCAGCCAGTAAGCAGTCAGTAAGCAGCCAGTAAACAGCCAGTAAGCAGCCAGTAAGCAGCCAGTAAGCAGCCAGTAAACAGCCAGTAAGCAGTCAGTAAGCAGCCAGTAAACAGCCAGTAAGCAAGCAGTAAGCAGCCAGTAAACAGCCAGTAAACAGCCAGTAAGCAGCCAGTAAGCAGTCAGTAAGCAGCCAGTAAACAGCCAGTAAGCAGCCAGTAAGCAGCCAGTAAACAGCCAGTAAGCAGTCAGTAAGCAGTCAGTAAACGGCCAGTAAACAGCCAGTAAGCAGCCAGTAAACGGCCAGTAAACAGCCAGTAAGCAGCCAGTAAGCAGCCAGTAAACAGCCAGTAAGCAGCCAGTAAACAGCCAGTAAGCAGCCAGTAAGCAGCCAGTAAACAGCCAGTAAGCAGCCAGTAAACAGCCAGTAAGCAGTCAGTAAGCAGCCAGTAAACAGCCAATAAGCAGTCAGTAAGCAGCCAGTAAACAGCCAGTAAGCAGCCAGTAAACAGCCAGTAAGCAGCCAGTAAACAGCCAGTAAGCAGTCAGTAAGCAGCCAGTAAACAGCCAGTAAACAGCCAGTAAGCAGCCAGTAAACAGCCAGTAAACAGCCAGTAAGCAGCCAGTAAGCAGTCAGTAAGCATCCAGTAAACAGCCAGTAAACAGCCAGTAAACAGCCAGTAAGCAGCCAGTAAACAGCCAGTAAGCAGCCAGTAAACAGCCAGTAAACAGCCAGTAAACAGCCAGTAAGCAGCCAGTAAGCAGCTCTAACATTTCACTGCCTTCATTCTGCTGCAGTCATTTATGGACCTCTCCTGTCTGCCAATGTGTGTCTAAAGAGTCGTTTGGCTGCATGTTTTCTGCACTTTGCTGATTGAAAAGGTCAAAAATCCATTAAATACAATCAAGTAACGCAGCAAAAGATTCCCTTTTACTCCATGTTTAACTGGAACAGCAATGTTTGACCTTGTCAGCTTGTCGCAGGCAGTCTATTCGCCTCATTTTGCCCTTCTGGTCCGGATTGGACAGGACGCAGCACGCAGCCTTCTTCCCAGTGATGGACAGGACAAAGTCCTCTCTGCATTCAGGTCTGATGTCTTTTCTTAGTTTGGCCAAAAGACGACTGGCCCACTTCTGTTTCACCTGCAAGCAGAATGAAACCGGACACAGAAATAAACACTTTTAGTTCTCAACAACGTCCAGCATCATTTAAAGCATTTCACTGGTATGCTGGTCTGTCCACCTCTGCTTTTTCTCCCAGTAATTCGTCTTTAACAGCTCTCTCTTCCTCTTTCGTCATCCTCTTCTCATGCTTTTTGAAGTACTTCCTCTTCCTGGCCTGGAGGTTGAACCATGTGTAGGCAAAGGCACGGACCTGGGGCAGCAGAGCCTCGATGAACGGATGGAACTCATCCTACAGGGCAGAAAACGGACAGAGCAACAGGTCAGACTGTGTGGGTTCAGATATGTAGAAGTGGAACCCCGGGGTTCCACCCAACGCGTTAATGCCGAGAACGGTTCCACCCAATGCGTTAATGCCGAGAACGGTTCCACCCAACGCGTTAATGCCGAGAACGGTTCCACCCAACGCGTTAATGCCGAGAACGGTTCCACCCAACGCGTTAATGCCGAGAACGGTTCCACCCAACGTGTTAATGCCGAGAACGGTTCCACCCGACGCGTCAATACCGAAAACGGTTCCACCCAACGCGTTGACGCCGAGAACGGTTCCACCCAACGCGTTAATGCCGAGAACGGTTCCACCCAACGCGTTAATGCCGAGAACGGTTCCACCCAACGCGTTAATGCCGAGAACGGTTCCACCCAACGCGTTAATGCCGAGAACGGTTCCACCCAACGCGTTGACGCCGAGAACGGTTCCACCCAACGCGTTAATGCCGAGAACGGTTCCACCCAACGTGTTAATGCCGAGAACGGTTCCACCCGACGCGTCAATACCGAAAACGGTTCCACCCAACGCGTTGACGCCGAGAACGGTTCCACCCAACGCGTTAATGCCGAGAACGGTTCCACCCAACGCGTTAATGCCGAGAACGGTTCCACCCAACGCGTTAATGCCGAGAACGGTTCCACCCAACGCGTTAATGCCGAGAACGGTTCCACCCAACGTGTTAATGCCGAGAACGGTTCCACCCGACGCGTTGACGCCGAGAACGGTTCCACCCAACGCGTTGACGCCGAGAACGGTTCCACCCAACGTGTTAATGCCGAGAACGGTTCCACCCGACGCGTCAATACCGAAAACGGTTCCAACCAACGCGTTACTGCCGAGAACGTTTCCACCCAACGCGTTAATGCCGAGAACGGTTCCACCCAACGCGTTAATGCCGAGAACGGTTCCACCCAACGCGTTAATGCCGAGAACAGTTCCACCCAACGCGTTAACGCCGAGAATGGTTTCACCCAACGCATTAATGCCGAGAACGGTTCCACCCGAAATGTTAACACCGAGAACGGTTCCACCCGACACGTTATCGCCGAGAACGGTTCCACCCGACGAGTTAATGCCGAGAACGGTTCCACTCAACGCGTTAATGCCGAGAATGGTTCCACCGACACGTTAATGCCAAGAACGGTTCCACCCGACACGTTAACGCCGAGAACGGTTCCACCCAACGCGTTAACGCCGAGAACGGTTCCACCCAACGCGTTAATGCCAAGAACGGTTCCACCGATACGTTAATGCCGAGAACGGTTCCACCCGACACGTTAACGCCGAGAACGGTTCCACCCAATGCATTAACGCCGAGAACGGTTCCACCCAACGCGTTAATGCCGAGAACGGTTCCACCCGAAACGTTAATGCCGAGAACGGTTCCACCCGACACGTTAACGCCGAGAACGGTTCCACCCAACGCGTTAACGCCGAGAACGGTTCCACCCAACGCGTTAATGCCGAGAACGGTTCCACCGACACGTTAATGCCGAGAACGGTTCCACCCAACGTGTTAATGCCGAGAACGGTTCCACCCAACGTGTTAATGCCAAGAACGGTTCAACCCAACGCGTTAATGCCAAGAACGGTTCCACCTGACACGTTAACGCCGAGAACGGTTCCACCCAACGTGTTAATGCCGAGAACGGTTCCACCCAACGCGTTAATGCCAAGAACGGTTCCACCTGACACGTTAACGCCGAGAACGGTTCCACCCAACACGTTAATGCCGAGAACGGTTCCACCGACACGTTAACGCCGAGAACGGTTCCACCCAACGCGTTAATGCCAAGAACGGTTCCATCCAACGCGTTAATGCCGGGAATGGTTCCACCCAACGAGTTAATGCCGATAACGGTTCCACCCAACGCGTTATTGCCGAGAACGATTCCACCGACACGTTAATGCCGAGAACGGTTCCATCCGAAACGTTAACGCCGAGAACGGTTCCACTCAACGCGTTAATGCCGAGAACGGTTCCACCCGACACGTTAACACCGAGAACGGTTCCACCCAACGCGTTAACGCCGAGAACGGTTCCACCCAACGCGTTAATGCCAAGAACGGTTCCACCGATACGTTAATGCCGAGAACGGTTCCACCCGACACGTTAACGCCGAGAACGGTTCCACTCAATGCATTAACGCCGAGAACGGTTCCACCCAACGCGTTAATGCCGAGAACGGTTCCACCCGAAACGTTAATGCCGAGAACGGTTCCACCCGACACGTTAACGCCGAGAACGGTTCCACCCAACGCGTTAACGCCGAGAACGGTTCCACCCAACGCGTTAATGCCGAGAACGGTTCCACCGACACGTTAATGCCGAGAACGGTTCCACCCAACGTGTTAATGCCGAGAACGGTTCCACCCAACGTGTTAATGCCAAGAACGGTTCCACCCAACGCGTTAATGCCAAGAACGGTTCCACCTGACACGTTAACGCCGAGAACGGTTCCACCCAACGTGTTAATGCCGAGAACGGTTCCACCCAACGCGTTAATGCCAAGAACGGTTCCACCTGACACGTTAACGCCGAGAACGGTTCCACCCAACACGTTAATGCCGAGAACGGTTCCACCGACACGTTAACGCCGAGAACGGTTCCACCCAACGCGTTAATGCCAAGAACGGTTCCATCCAACGCGTTAATGCCGGGAATGGTTCCACCCAACGAGTTAATGCCGATAAAGGTTCCACCCAACGCGTTATTGCCGAGAACGATTCCACCGACATGTTAATGCCGAGAACGATTCCATCCGAAACGTTAACGCCGAGAACGGTTCCACTCAACGCGTTAATGCCGAGAACGGTTCCACCCAATGCGTCAACACTGAGAATGCTCTCTCTGCTTTTTCTCATAGTAGCTTCATCTGGTCTGTTCCTGTTTGGCTGTGACTCCATCCTGGAGAGAAATATCAGCTGTGCTGCTGCCATCAACACCTTTGTTTCTAGATGTTGGAGCTTGGCCTGTTTTCCAGTGTAGTCCTGTTTCTCTGACTGTGACTAACTGGATGTGCTCTCTTCATCCTCTGACATGGGAGCTGGCTCGGAGCTCGTCTGCCTGGCTGTGTGTTTCCTGGACGGGGCCGCCTGTGGAGCTGGTTGACAGTTGCCTTTTGTATCTATGCTTCTTTTTCTATGTCTGCTTCTGTCTCCTTAAACCCCAGTGGGCCTCAGCAGATGGCCGCTCACACTGAGCCTGGTTCTGCTGGAGGTTTCTTCCTGTTCAAAGGGAGTTTTTCCTCTCCACTGTCGCTACAAGCATGCTTAGTGTGAGGGATTGCTGAAGAGTCAATGAGTCGATGCAATCAGCTGGTTTTCCTTAGATAGAAAACTTTGAATCAGTCTGATGGGATGATCTGGTTGAATCATCTCTATAAAGTTAACTGAGATGGCATGATGTGAATTGGCGCCATAGAAATTAAATTAATAGAACTGTCGGTTCTACCCGACGTATTAACGCCTTTATCTTCAGCCATATTACAACAAGTCATTACAATCTCTTTACAATTAGATGACCTTCCTGATTAAACCAAGAATCAAACCGTCTGTTTTAAGGACAAAGACCCTTCAGAAGGACGGATCCTTCGGTTATCTGAAATAGAAAAAACAAAACCACTGTTGGAATAAAACAACCGGAAAAGAGCTTCCACACGTTTACAGGTTCAATATTTCTTTCTTTCCCATACATGTCCTCACAGCTTCCCTCTATTTATCAGGGTTCTCTATAGGCTCCAATAAGCAGCTGATGTGACTTAAAGGGATAGTTCGGTATTTTTGACATGAATCTGTATGGCATCCCCATCACCAGTGTCATGCAATCACACTGACTTACCCCTGGCAGCCTCCTGTGAGCAGAGTTCTCGTCCAGTTTTGGTCAAGCCGAAAGTAGTCCGGCAGGTTTGCTAGACCCAGCGAAATAAAACGTTTCTCTTCCCAAAACATTATGTGTTCAAAAGAGTGATATTTTTGCATCCCAAAAACATTGTAGTGGAAAAAGTCACACGTCGTTATCAATTGGTCCTATTTTCTCTCTGTTCGTATCAGTGCGCGCCGTCATTCAGACAGCTAGGGCCTACTAACCTGACAACAGCCAGATGTATGTCTCCCTCCGCCCAGCTAGGAGCTAGGCGGAGGGAGACATGCATCTGGCTGTTGTTGAGCTCGCTGTCAGAATGACGGCGCGCACTGATACGAACAGAGAGAAAATAGGACCAAGTGATAACGACGTGTGACTTTTTCCACTACAATGTTTTTGGGATGCAAAAATATCACTCTTTTGAACACATAATGTTTTGGGAAGAGAAACGTTTTATTTCGCTGGGTCTAGCAAACCTGCCGGACTACTTTCGGCTTGACCAAAACTGGACGAGAACTCTGCTCACAGGAGGCTGCCAGGGGTAAGTCAGTGTGATTGCATGACACTGGTGATGGGGATGCCATACAGATTCATGTCAAAAATACCGAACTATCCCTTTAAGTTGTTCTCTCTAGATGTTCTAACTCTAACTTTCATACCTTAGAAGACATTACTCTTCTAAATTAAGATCTGCTGTAAGTCACAGCAGCAGATACTCTCCTCTATAGATGTGCTAAAGCATAACTAACGACCTGATGCTAACATCAAAAGTAGGAAGTACAGTCTGCTATGTCCGTTCTTTGGAAGTGAACAATTCTATTCAGTATATTTCTATAGCTCCAATTCACATCATGTCATCTCAGGTCACTTTCCAGTTCACCAGATCATCCAGTCAGATTGATTCAAAGTTTTCTATCTAAGGAAAACCAGCTGATTGCATCGACTCATTGACTCTTCAGCAATCCCTCACACTAAGCATGCTTGTAGCGACAGTGGAGAGGAAAAACTCCCTTTGGACAGGAAGAAACCTCCAGCAGAACCAGGCTCAGTGTGAGCGGCCATCTGCTGAGGCCCACTGGGGTTCAAGGAGACAGAAGCAGACATAGAAAAAGAAGCATAGAAGCTCTGATCTGTAAATACTTTCTATGGTAGAAAAGCTTTACATAAACTAGTTCCACAGGCGGTTCTTTCTAGGAAAAAAAACAGTTAATCAGACGAGCTCCGAGCCAGCTCCCATGCCAGAGGATGAAGAGAGCACATCCAGTTAGTCACAGTCAGAGAAACAGGACTACACTGGAAAATGAGTTGAACACAACAGAAAGATGGGCTAATAATCCTCACATTCTCACACACGCTCTGACAACAACCTTTGTTAGCCGTCAGAAATGACCTTAAACATCAAAACGATCCGTAGAGAGATGCACGGCTAGATCTGCGTTCACACCAACCCACAATTAGCAGAGTCCCCTCATTCTTTGATCACTCTGTGACCTAATGCTAACTGTTTGACGCTCTCACCACAAGCTAAAAACTCCCTTCATGTTTGCCATTAGAGGTCCATGCAGCGCCCAGTGTGACTGTAAGCTAGCCTGATTTTATGGAAGGAGTCCCACCCTCACCCGCACAGAGGAGGTCATTCAGAGCCAAACTCTTCAAACTTCTCCTGAACATTGCAGCAGTTTAAATCACAAACACTGAAAATGACAGAAATATGACCAGGCCTAAATTACACACCAATCCGGGCAGCCGCTGGTTGCTAGGTAGAAGCAAAATAAAGGAGCCGCAGCTTTAATCACAGTTATTTACTGCGAGGAAAATGTTCATCAAACCAGGAAAAGCCAAATAAAGCTCATTAGGTGCGTTTATCAGTGGAGCTGAAATCTGAATTTAGACTTTTTTCAAATATATAATTTTTTAATGAAAACATTATTGGCTGCTGGCTTTTAATTATTTTAATGATCTCTTATTCTGACTCTATTATCCCAAAGGACTAAACCATAGAGCTAATATGAAGCTGGCCTGAACAGATGCAGCAGGATGCCCCCCCCATCCTCCCCACCTCCTCCAGAAGCACCATAGAGAGCCCACCTGCCCCCCCCCATAGAGAGCGTTCTGAGCAGCTGTCTCACTGTGTGGTGTGGAGGCTGCAGCGCCTCAAACTGGAAGAAGGTGAGAACAGCAGAGAGGATCATGGGGGCTCCTCTTCCCTCCATTAAAGACATTTCATCCCAGCGCTGCGTGTCCCGTGACATCATCAATGACCCCTCACCCCCCCACCATGGACTGTTCTCCCTGCTGCCCTCTGGGAAGAGGCTTCCCAGCATTCAATGCAGGACCAGCAGGTTCTGCAGCAGCTTCTTCCCCACCGCCATCACACTGATCAACTGATGGATAAACTCTGCATCACACTGATGACACCAAACCAACAATGCAGATCTGCACCATAGAGATTAATACACCTTGTTGCTCCATGTTTTTTCTCCCAAACTGTTTACATTTGATCACTGCTGCACTTTATGGATGGAAATGTTCATTTACTGTCTGAAAGCGCCACTAAAGGAAATCTGGTTTTGTATAAACTGTAAAAGAATAACTATAAAGTTGTCTAAGTCTCAGTGTGTCTCTATGTGGGGAAGGAGGCCCTCTGCCGGCCTTATATTTTAACTCTACCCCCCTGGCTTTCACTGCAGCCATTTTCTGCTGACTAATGTAAACATGTAAAGAATCCAGCCTTCCATAAAGGGGAGGAGGAGGAGGGGGGGCATTGAGCCTGGCCTTCCCAGAACAGGCCTGCTTCTCTCCAGAGCACCGAGCTCCCCTGCGGAGGCTCCATGACCACCATAGCTTCCCCGCACTGAGAGCAGATCTTCCCTCCAGGATGGAGGAACCGGAGCCTGTGAGGACAGCAGCCCGCCCAGCCGCTGCTCCTATCCGGCCTCAGAGAGACAGCTGCAGGGATGGATCCACGCTGCTCACTTCCGCCTTGGACGGGAAACGCCAAGTGGATGAGAGGACCGTGGAGCCGCCAGTAGAAGTTACAGTTAGAGAGGCTGCGGGTTAGATTCCCAGGCTGAGTCCTGCTGACCGGCTGCTGATTTCCTCCGCTAGCTCCGAGAGGAGCCGCCTGTTCCTCCTTCCCTCCCCGCCCCGCAGCAGCCTGAGGCGGACAGTGAGTCCAGCCTTCCTACCATGTCCCAGCAGCTGAAGTTAAAGCTGATCTCTGCCCATCCTGAGGAGCCGCTCCGGATCATTCCTGGTTCCCATCATCAGGAGCAGCTGGAGACAACAATCCGCGGAGCTCCGCAAACGTCCCGCGTCAGAATTCCTCCTCCCCCTCCTCTCCCCCCTCCTCTCCTCCTCCAGGCTGCGGCAGAATCCAATCCTGCTTCACTGACCTTCTACCTCCCATCCAGAGGGGGGGGCCAGTCAATAACCAATGTAGACTGACGGGTAACCAGTTAATAAATAATGTAGACTGACGGGTGTCCAGTTAATAAATAATGTAGACTGACGGGTGTCCAGTTAATAAATAATGTAGACTGACGGGTGTCCAGTTAATAAATAATGTAGACTGACGGGTGTCCAGTTAATAAATAATGTAGACTGACGGGTGTCCAGTTAATAAATAATGTAGACTGACGGGTGTCCAGTTAATAAATAATGTAGACTGATGGGTGCCCAGTTTATAACCAATGTAGACTGACGGGTGTCCAGTTAATAAATAATGTAGACTGATGGGTGCCCAGTTTATAACCAATGTAGACTGACGGGTAACCAGTTAATAAATAATGTAGACTGACGGGTAACCAGTTAATAAATAATGTAGACTGACGGGTGTCCAGTTAATAAATAATGTAGACTGATGGGTGCCCAGTTTATAACCAATGTAGACTGACGGGTGTCCAGTTAATAAATAATGTAGACTGATGGGTGCCCAGTTTATAACCAATGTAGACTGACGGGTAACCAGTTAATAAATAATGTAGACTGACGGGTGTCCAGTTAATAAATAATGTAGACTGACGGGTGTCCAGTTAATAAATAATGTAGACTGACGGGTGTCCAGTTAATAAATAATGTAGACTGACGGGTGTCCAGTTAATAAATAATGTAGACTGACGGGTGTCCAGTTAATAAATAATGTAGACTGATGGGTGCCCAGTTTATAACCAATGTAGACTGACGGGTGTCCAGTTAATAAATAATGTAGACTGATGGGTGCCCAGTTTATAACCAATGTAGACTGACGGGTAACCAGTTAATAAATAATGTAGACTGACGGGTAACCAGTTAATAAATAATGTAGACTGACGGGTAACCAGTTAATAAATAATGTAGACTGACGGGTGTCCAGTTAATAAATAATGTAGACTGAGGGGTGTCCAGTTTATAACCAATGTAGACTGAGGGGTGTCCAGTTTATAACCAATGTAGACTGAGGGGTGTCCAGTTTATAACCAATGTAGACTGACGGGTGTCCAGTTTATAACCAATGTAGACTGAGGGGTGTCCAGTTTATAACCAATGTAGACTGAGGGGTGTCCAGTTTATAACCAATGTAGACTGAGGGGTGTCCAGTTTATAACCAATGTAGACTGACGGGTGTCCAGTTTATAACCAATGTAGACTGAGGGGTGTCCAGTTTATAACCAATGTAGACTGAGGGGTGTCCAGTTTATAACCAATGTAGACTGACGGGTGTCCAGTTAATAAATAATGTAGACTGACGGGTAACCAGTTAATAAATAATGTAGACTGATGGGTGCCCAGTTTATAACCAATGTAGACTGAGGGGTGTCCAGTTTATAACCAATGTAGACTGAGGGGTGTCCAGTTTATAACCAATGTAGACTGACGGGTGTCCAGTTTATAACCAATGTAGACTGAGGGGTGTCCAGTTTATAACCAATGTAGACTGAGGGGTGTCCAGTTTATAACCAATGTAGACTGAGGGGTGTCCAGTTTATAACCAATGTAGACTGACGGGTGTCCAGTTAATATTTAAAGTCTATATTATTTATTAACATATAATATATTTAAAAATAAAAAAATATATTTAAACAATAATGTGCATTATAGACATCAGTGGTCATTGTTAGGAATCCAGTGTGTGTGGGCCGTGTTTGTTTTTTGTGTTCTCTCCCTCCACCACCAGGTGGCGCCCTGTTCCGCCCTGGTCCTTCCTCACACCTGCGGCTGGTTGTGCTCATTACAGAGGACTCTTAAGCAGTGGACTGCCACTACCTCGATGCCAGAGTGTTTGCCAGTTTTGGGAACTCTAGCCAAGTTTAGTTTAGTTGAGTCAAACTGAGTCTTTGTCTCTCTGAGTTCTAACCTTGATTTTGTCTTTGCCTTTTTGGCAGGAAGTCATCCTGCAAACTGGATTTTTGGCCTTCTCCCCCTGAAAGGGTTGTTTTGAGCTTTACACTGAGCAGGGGATTAATCACCACACGACCCGTTCAAGTTCTCCTGGAAATCTAAGTGGCAGTCCGCTCCATTGCTCCTCAAGGAACCAACTAAACCAAAAACCTGTCCGCCCTCCAACGAGCCCCCAATCTCTGGATAAGCCCACACCGACTGGATTCTGGGAAGAGAACCTTTTTCTGCTAATGTGAGTCCCGTTCATCTCTGATTTTTGCAAGAGGTTGGTCAAAGTTCCCACCGACCCTGAACTAACCTCTGAACTTCCCTTCTTACTTCCAGTTCTGTTGCACCAGAACTCTGAGTTAGCCTGGATCAACCCTATTGATTATTTCAATAAACCTGTTCAACTTTTCCTCTGGTTCTCTGAGTGGTTTCCTGCATGTGGGTCAGATCTCTTAAAAACATCATGACAACATCATCAACATCATGACAAAGCAAACAAAGCGGCTCTCCTTATCAATTAGGAAGGATTGCCTGCATTTTGCTTTGTAATGAGAGGTTGTCAAAAATTTAAAAGAGGGAGTCACGTGATGAGGTGCAAGGGAATGGCTGCGCTGTAGAGGAGCTCCTAGCCCCGTCAACATTATTTTAAACGAATAACTTTGAAACCTCTCCTACCAACATCCTACTTGAAGCTTGTGTGCACGCTCACTATATCTGAGCAATTTGACCGAAATATGACGACGGCGAGTGAAAGAAAACGATGTGTGCAGACCCGCCTGCCCGCTGTTGCTACCAGAGGAGCTAACTCAGCTAACGCTGCTAGCCAAGAAGACAGCCAAGTAACTGACATAAATGGTCTGTTCGCGGAGATTGCCAAGGTGGGAGCGACGTTAAATGGAGTCGCAAGTGATGTGACCCTTATTAAATTGGACACAACAGAACTCAAGAACTCCGTGAGTGCAATTAAAACAAGGTTAACTGAAGCTGAGAGACGCATTTCTGATGTGGAGGACACTGTAGCTAACCTAGCAAGAAACAACGTGAAGCTAACCAAAACAGTTGAACAACTTTATGAGAGAGTTGATGACCAGGAAAACAGAGCCCGTCGTAAAAATATCAGACTGGTTGGATTGAAAGAGGGGAAAGAGGCTGGAATGCCACTAGCTAACTACGTGCAGAAAATAATTCGTGATGGTCTAGAGCTGAATGGAAGTGACTATGAGATTGAGCGCTGCCACAGAAGTTCAGGTCCTCGCCCGGATCCCAACCAGCCTCCGCGCATCATACTGGTGAGATTCCTCAAATATACTGCCCGGGAGAAAGTCCTGGCTGCTGCTAAGAAGAAGGGGATACTATGGGATGGCTGTCGTCTGTCACTGTTTGAGGATATGACCAAGGAGCGCTCAGCGCAGCGCAAAAAGTTTTCCACGGTGATGAAACGGCTATGGCAGCAGCAGGTGAAGCATTCGCTGGCGCATCCGGCCATACTCAGGTTTACATGGAGAGGAAAGCGGCTCAGCTTTACAGATGCAAAGGAGGCAGAAAGTTTCGTACAAGAGCACATTGAGAGCGCGGAAAATGGCGGAACCACAACGGGAAGACAGACCGCGGGAGATGGCGAGGGAGCACCTGTTGATATCAACGAGTAGGAAAACGGAGGAAATACGACATCTGACGGGGCATGGAAGATCACTGCGGTGCGGTCAGGATCAAGACGAAGGGATCAGCAGAGAGGTCGTCTCCAGAACCCACACGGACCAGATAAGACTTGACTTTTTCATCAGGAAGGTTTCACTGCCATGTTCTTTTTTAGAGCAGTGTTTTATTTGTCCATTTTCTACTTTTATTTGCTGTTTTATTGTTTTAAAAAAAGTCAGGTAAGAAGTTATGTTATGCTTGCACCAACTTGTTCATATATGCTAAGTAGTGGAATCCAGGACTCTGGTCTGATACTGTTTCTGCTGGAGAATAATGGGTAAATTAAGTATAAATATTGTAACATGGAACATTAACGGCTGTGGTACATCAATCAAAAGAAAAAAGGTTCTTAGCTATTTGAAATCTCATGATAAGGATATAGCGTTCATACAAGAAACACACTTTGAAAGTGAAATAGAAGCTTTAAAATTCAAGAAAGGTTGGGTTGGCAAAGTGTTTCACAATTCTGTGTCCAGGAAAAGCAGAGGGGTTATGATTCTTATAAACAAAAATCTTAATTTTGTGTTACTACAGGAGTTTAAAGATATAGAAGGACGTACACTATGCATACAAGCACTTTTGAATGATGTGAAGGTTGTCCTCTGCAATATATATGCCCCAAACAGGGAAGAGCCACTTTTTTTTCACTCCATCCTAAACACAATAAGCAATCTTGAAGGCCACATTATACTGGGAGGAGATATGAACGAAGTCCCAGATATCTTTATTGATAAAAGTATAATTAGTGCCAGTTCTAGTAGTGGAGGTAAATCCGCAACAGGCCTTTTTAAAGAAGAGATTGGGCTGGTGGACATCTGGAGACTAATACACCCTGTGGAGCGGGAATATACGTTTTATTCACATGCCCACAAAAGTTACTCCCGCATCGATTACTTTCTGATTCCCAGTACCAGTGTTGACTTAGTTGCGGAGTGTGAAATAGGTGTAATTGCCCTAACAGACCACGCCCCAGTGAAGTTACAGATACATTTGCAGGGTGAAAATAACAGATCGGGCAGATGGAGATTAAACTCCAGTATATTGCAGGATGAACAATTTGTAACAACATTAAAAGACGACTTAAACTACTTCTTTGACGTGAATATTGGGTCAACAGATAAATTGGCAACAGTTTGGGATGCTCATAAGGCCTTTGTTAGGGGTAAATGCTTGGGATACAGCTCTAAGAAAGTAAAAGAGGGGAAAGAAAAAGTCTGTTGGGATCCTCAGGCTTGCCCACCAGAGGGCGCCGAGGATCCTCTTCTGCTCTTTGTTTTTCTCTT